TCCACATGTCACTCTGGGGAGAGATATATCAGATACAAGAGTGACGTTGAAAAGAACAAACACGACGTTTGCGATATCAATCACAATTATCTAAAGCTGTATCGCCCGCTATTATTTTGTAAAAGTGAACGTATCCATCATGAAATTATTGGAAATGTGTCTGTCCACTGTGTATAATTTCCAGCAAGTGTTGAAAGTATTTCTATACTAATTGAATGTATGCCGATTGGACGTTCTATCGTGGTTAGATTTTTGTCATTTTCTATGGATTTGTGTTGTTGAGAAAAACTATAGGTTTTATGACTGTTCACTTTAGCAAACACTTATCATTGAATGATGTAAAATTCTGTGCACAATTCTATGTTTCGTTTTTTGTGGAATTGAAAGTAAAGATTGTTAATATTATTACAAGTTCTTACATTCCAAGGTGGGCGGACGTTGACAGCTGTCCTGTGCCCTTTTATTGTATAAATAAGACAAAAATTCGATATTTTTTAACAGCGGAGGTTGATGCTATGAATATGGTCAAGGTCACAGGAAGCAAAGAAAACATATATCCTGTTATTTCAAAATTTAAATGCGTTTATAGCTACAGCATTGAACAATTGACTATGTTTGTAAACATACAGGGTACAATAAAGCCAATTAAGTAGTTTTAAAGAGTTGTGAAATGGCATGTGGTTCTATAGAAAGAAAAATGTTTTTAATTTCGGAGTGAGCAGTTAATACCATTTTATTATTCATGACGTTTCCATGATAATGTGGTGTTTATAGAAATCGAGTGGAGTTCACCTCCTCGAAAATTCGCTCCCTTAGATCTAATTAGATATTCCTTTTGCTGTAGCATTTTTTTGTAAGAAAAATAAAACAAATCGTTGTGATTTTAATTTTTTTTTCATTAATTCCTAGTTTTTTAGCGATTTGTTTAACAATGTTTAAAAAAAATTACAAATTCTTAAAACATAACAAATGTAATACGTAATTCATTAACAATAAAATTATTCTCTTCTCTTTCTGAGTTAATTTGGTAACAAAAATAATTATTAACAATTTTCTTCTTAGCATATCATATGAAAATTTCAGGAATTTATATAGAACGGAGATCGAATAAAACGTATGAGAAAAAAAATGTGAAATCAATTATAATCTAAAAGATATGAAAATGTATCCAGAAATCCAGTTTTAATGGCAAGAGATTTTTTACCGAAACCTGCCATATCAGCGTCCATGGAAAGGGAATTTTCTAGGGCTCACTGACCATTACGGAACCCCACAGCAGATGAAGCGATAAATCCTTCAGGACCTTCATGTGTCTTAACTCGTGCTGAGCGAACGAAAAGCTAATTCAGAATTATTAATTTCTTTGTATCAGCTGATGAAGAATTGTTTTTTCTTTCTATTTGAGTATAGAGTTTTATCGTTCCTTTATTTGTTGCATGATGAACAAAATATTTTGTGCAATATGTATTGTTTTCCCTGTAATTTGTCCTCTTTTTTCTTTTTATATCGAAACAGCCGCGCAGGCAGAAGCCTAAATGCCGGAACACCGCGGCTGCTATGATGATCCCAAAGAAATTTTGTTAATACGATTTTTGAACTGCCTAAGGTTAGTAGAACTGGGAAAAGCTTCCTCCCGTAGATTGTTCCACAATCTAGACACCCTCGGGACAAAGGAGCGGTCGTATCGGCCAGTTCTGGATGTACGAAGTTTGACACGGTTAGGATGGGACGCCGAAGTCAGGCGGGTCTGTCTGGCAGGCACATCGCGCGGCGGCATCATGGAAGAGAGCCCTGAGGAGCAAAGTCCATTGGAGTAGCGATAGAAAAGAGCCAGATCGCCGACGGCCCGCCGGTGCGAAAGAGTCCCGAGACTGTCTGTTAGAGAAGAGTCATCGATCAGTCGGACCGCCCTCCTCTGGACAGCATCGAGCATGGACAATGTAGTCGGGGCGGCAGCACCCCAAATGTGTGAGCAATACTCGAGGCTAGGCCTTATCTGGGCCTTGTATAGAGTGAGAAGGTCATGCGGAGTACTTCTTAGCCCTAAACAAATAGCCTAGCTTTTTCCCAGCAGCTGCAGCTATTGAAGAGATGTGTTCGTGCCAGATCAGGTCCTCGGTGATCTGGACTCCGACCAGCCGAAATGAATGGCTCTTTGGTAGAACTCGACCGTCCATCGAAACTGTATGAGCGCTAGGACGCTTTTTGTTCGTCAAAGTACAGTACTGTGTTTTGGAAGCATTGAACTGTACAAGATTGTTGCGTCCCCAAGCAGTGATAGCCTCCAGGTCTCTTGTCAGAGAAGAAGTCGTCGCTAGTCTTCTTTTTTCCAGCTCAGCGGCAGAGATCGGCTTGTCACTCTGAATTCCTGCATGTAGAGTGCTGTCATCAGCGAAGCTGTGGATTGAGTTGATCGTGCAGGAAAGGAGGTCGTTGATGTGTAAGAGAAACAGTGTTGGAGCCAAGACCGATCCCTGGGGAACACCCGCGTTGACGTTGTGGGATGAAGAGGAGAATCCGTCAATTACGACGGATATCTTGCGGTCAGAGATAAAGTCAGCCACCCATCTGCAAAGCTTTTCTGCGAGGCCGTAGGATGGAAGTTTGCTTAAGAGGGCAGCGTGCCACAGCTGATCGAACGCTTTCGTGATGTCAAGAGCAACGACATGAGCCTCACCATGAGACTGGATGAGTTTACTCCACAGTTGCGTGACGTAAGCTAGGAGGTCCCCTGTGGATCGTTGGTGCCGGAAACCGTACTGCCTGTCGCTAATCAAGCTGTGACGTTCGAGGTAGTCCAGAAGCTCGCGATTTATGCACCTCTCCATCACTTTACTTATAACAGAAAGCAGAGCTATAGGCCTGTAGTTGTAAAGGTCGGTTTTAGATGCTTTTTTTGGGATGGGCTGTACATGAGCAAATTTCCAGTTTTCTGGGAAGTTGCCGGATTCATAAGATATCTGGAAGAGACGCGAAAGAACTGGAGCAAGCTCCGCTGCACATCTCTTCAGTACAATGGCAGGAATCAAGTCCGGACCAGAAGCTTGTCGAGCGACAAGAGCACTCGTCTTACGGTCTTATGCCTGAATGTTACCTCCCGCATAGTGTGGGGAACCCTTTGAATTGACGGCACAAAAGCATCATGTTGGAATCGAAAAGTGGTCTTGTTTATAATACAGTCGAACTTTCACGATTTTCAATAGATATTCAATAGAAATCACTAATATTCAGAGACCTTTGACAGCTTCTGTCACATTGCATTTCGATGAGGTATTTTCCCATTGGTGCATAATATTAATGTTGGTGAAATCGGCCCTAAATTAGTTTTGATATCAACCCATGTTAGTTACTTACCTATTTAGTTTTTTGACCACGAAATGTAGTCGTATTTTTTATTTTTATAAAAATAAAGATGATTCAGTTGCAAATATTATTTTAATACCTAGCTACAACACTTACTCTAGTTGCTTTATCTATTTTCACTTCACAGTCTGCCAAAAATCATTAAGTGCATAAAGTTTCGATTTTCGATAGTTACGAAAAATTAATTTTCCAATCTGACCTACTGTGTATAAGTGCATCCTTTCGAAAACCGTTATCCTAATTTGAATGCATGACTATTGTACAGAACTGAATTTTACGGGATCTTTCAAGTTTAAAATCCAATCATCTCGAAACTATCAATTTGGACTTTTATCAGAATGCCGACGATTTTCAAAACTCAAAAATTAAAATGATATAATCTGCTTACTTCTAAATTGAAAATATGTTTCTATAGATCTTTAAGCCTCCTTGAAACTGCTTAGTTGGTTTTGTCGTATCTTCTAGGTACCTACAGGTCTACCATAGTCAACTCACCATTCAGTTCGATCTATTCGTCTTACAAATTTACAAAATGACGTTGGGTAATAGTTTTGTATTATCCACAATCAATTGCCTCTCCCAAAACATATCCTAACCGAGATGAAAACAGGTTAAGATATAGCCAAATTTTTTTCTTTTTTGAGTGTCAGGATGAGCGAAGGCAGGTATAGAAATTCAGGATACTGTTCCGAAAATGCAAAAATATCGTTTTTTGTCACACCCTATATAGGTATAACCAGAGCACAATAATTTCATCATATCAAAGCTTCACTGTGATTCGTAAGACTGACTTAAATGTTATTTCGAAATAGAAATTAATATGAAAATCTCCTTCTCTAAAATATAAGATTTTTTTGACTTTGTTGATAATTTCTAATTTGAGCAGTACGGTTATAATAGAACAATCAGTTGTGTAACAACTGAGATTACACTCAAGTATGTACGCCAGAATGAGTTAATGAAGGTACTCTAGTATAACCGAACTCGATGAATCAAAGTGAACAGTTATGAAAACCGGGAAAAGCTATTTTAAAAATATGTGTGATGTATGTCTGAATAATATTTTTCCAGTTATAGAATGAAAATATTTAGATATGTTTCTATCACAATGTAAAATACGTATACTATACTTGTATTGAACAGTGAAATAATGAATAGCCAAAGACCGCTAAGTTGCTTTTGTCAGTCGTAACATCACTGTTGCTTATTTTGTATTAAACAGATGAAAAATAATTCGATTGCACATTTGCGTTATTTTTATGACAGAGAGTAAAATGCAGATGGTTTTGCAAATAATGATTGTAGGCGCAATCAAAGTTGGTCCATCAAAAAAGAGGGGAACAGGTTAAAGAACACTTGGGTTTGAAAGAACTTGGCACCACCGTCAATCGCGAGTCTAGGTAACAGGGAGGTCCTCCCTCCTCAGAGAGGTCCTCCCTCCTCAGAGAGGTCATACAATAAAATTTTCAACAACAAAGGTGATAAATGCAAGGACACAACTTGAGATGATTTGCTTGCATCTTGTTTATCATAGTTTTTGCATCTGGCCTACAACTATAATTTGCATAACAGTTTTTGATATTGCCGACAAATACGATAACTATATATTGGGGAACAGTCAACAAACATCGATTTCATTATGGATTCTAAAAAAGTATATAATTGTAATTCTGGTGCCAAAGAGTAAAAGTTACTAAAAAGAATTTGTTATGCAGGTATAACTTTATTCATATTTCAAGCAATAATGTAGATTATAATCATCCTCGAAGAGAAACCTTGAGAATACCTGTTTTGTCATTTTTATACGAGATTAGTAAATTTATACTGCATAGCAACATATTGTATATCTAAGTGACCAAGCATAATTATATCCTTCTATTTCTTATTACAGATCATCCTCTATGTACATTTCCATTGTCAGTTCTTGTGTATGTGGTGCATGGTAATAAACGAAGTACCAAAACTATAACTAAGTAATGAGTTGCTTTCCACTGGCTCTGTTAAGTTACTCGGAGTAACAGCACCGATACTGTTCTACTGCACGTGGCATGCCCATGCATTGCTTCTGGAGCAGTTCGGGAACGTATCACTTACAAACCAAAAAGCACTGGAAAGCAGCTATGGATGTACTGTGAATTATCACAAATGAAGTGACATGGCAATACAATGATACTATTTGTCAGTAGTAGTTACAAATGTTGTCATCTAAAGCGAGATTTCGTCAAGTATCACACCTACATTCGCCATGTTTACACCGCTGATAGCCAACCACAGGGCCGTACTGCTGGCATTTAAGCTGCGGACAAAGCTAAACCTTTAACGCAACACCAATCACTGGTGATCAATGACCAGATTATAACGTGATCACTAGTGCTGCTGTATATATAGGGCGTTTCAGAAAGACGTGCCTACATTTCTAGGGTAGGAAGTATATCCAAAAATAACAAAAAAAAAACAAAGATGCTCCCCAACCGAGATTTTAAAACACTTATATCTACGAGCGGTTAGGATTTTAGACTTTCAGTAAGCACATTATCAGCAACAAACGCACAGTCTCCTGGCCCAAACTATTCCAGAGACGTGGAAACATTTTATAAAATACCATATACAGTGAAAGCTCCCATAAGCGGACACTCACGGTTCCGTAACTTTTGTCCGCTTATGGGAGGTGTCCGTTTAAAAGAGAGTATGTAGTATAGAGTATAAATAACGGGGTATATAATCATGAGAAAATGAGGTATTATAATCATGAGAAAAATGAAACAGAAACTCGCCACATTTTTAAAGTATGTATTTATGCTATATATCTATATAATATATGTACATATACGCATACAAAAACATAAATGCTTCAATACATGGTACGAGAATTTAGCTTGTTGAAAAAAGTTTAAAATGTTTGTCTGACGAAATTTCACCATCTTTTGCTGAAGGAGACAATTTTCGTGATAACTTTCTAAATTTTTCAAATGTTGAAATGCAGTGAAATCATCTTTAGCAAATTTTTTCAATATAGAAATATGATTTAGAGCTTCCCCATATGAATTTATCGTTTTTGAACCGCTTAGTGAGTCCACCAGTTCCACTTCTTCTTCTGAGTCGTTTGGACTACCATATTCAAGTTGCCTGAGCTTTCTACATCCAAATTCGAAAAGTTGCCAATGGCATTTTCTTCTGTTGTTATGTTATTGTCTATGGCCAGGAAATCATCTACTTTCTGGGGATCTGCTGCTCCTAAATGTTTGGCATGTCGCAGTAACTGAGCAAGTGTCGCTAAGGGCAGATCGTCTTCAGCATCGTAATAATTTTGCTCAGCAAATTCTGAGCTACATTCACTTTTTCTGAATCCAGCTTTGCCAAAACAGTTTCTAATTGTAGAGGAATTTACTTTATTCCATGCTGTTTTTATAAAATACAAAGCTTCTAACACATTGATAGACTTTGTAAGCTCAGATAAGCTTTGACCATCGTCAATTTTTGTTAAAATATGTTTTAAAATCAAGTGCCGATAATAAAATTTAAAGTTCTGTATGACACCTTGATCCATGGGCTGACAAACAGAAGTTGTGTTTGGCGGTAAAAATATAATTTTCACATTTTTCATTTTCATATCACGAGGATGAGAGCATGCATTGTCTAAAAATAAAAGAACTTGCCTTTTTTGGATTCTCATTTTCCGGTCGAATTCGACTAACCACTCAGACATGATTTCTCGGGTCATCCATGCCTTTTTGTTGGATTTCCAAGTCGCTGGTAGATCCTTAATAGCAACGTTTTTTAAAGCACGGGGACGAGCCGCTTTCCCGATCACAATCAAATCGCATTTTTCACCGGCCATATTTGCACAGAATAAAATGGTTAGTCTATCTTTAGACAACTTTCCACTCACACATGTTTCTCCTTTAAAGGACAGAGTTTTGTCGGGCAATGCGCGAAAAAAAAGTCCACTCTCATCTGCGTTGTACACATCTTCTGGTTTGTAGCCAAGCAACATGGACGGAAGTTTCTCCAAAAATTGTGACACATCAACTTGATCTACTGCAGCAGCTTCGCCAGATATGCATTTGAAACTCACACTATGTCTCTTGCGCCACTTTTGCAGCCACCCGTCGGACGCACTGAAATTATTATAGCCCAAAATAGTGGCGATTTCTTTAGCTTTCATTTTCACTAACGGCCCTGAGATTGGAATGTTCTGACTTCTAGCTTTCACAAACCACTCAAAACATGTTTTGTCTATAGCAAAACCTTCCTTTTTTAAAAAATCCTTCTTTTGATTTATATTAGTTCCTGATTGCCATTTACTCCTGATATCTTCCTTATTTTTGGCAATTTCAGCTGCTTGCGTTTTCCCAATATTAAACCTCTTTGCCAAATGACGAACTGAAACACTTTCTCTGTCTAATACGTTAACAACTTCCATCTTTTCCTTTAACGAGAGCATCCTTTTTTTTGGTGCCATTTTACAGTTACAATAATAAAATACGTAACTCAATCAACTACGAATTTGCCCGAACTGAAGACAAGCCACAAGATTACATACAGGCTACCCAACGAAATGCGTAAATGGGGAATCACCTAATATAAATCGGGGAATTACCGAATTTTATGTATGTAGATATGTGCATTGCAATAAGCGGAACTAAAAAATCGTCCGGGTATTAGAGTTTCGCGTCCGCTTATGGGAGATTTTTTGATCACATATAGGAAAATCTAGTGTCCGCGTCCGTTTATAAGAGCGTCCGTTTATCGGAATGCATTTAACATTGAAAATTGATGGCTGAAATTCGGTTCCAGGAACTTTGTCCGGTTAAAAGAGATGTCCGCTTATAGGAGCTGTCCGCAAGGAGAGCTTTCACTGTAATTTTCCATTCCAATTTATGTCTGATCACTCCTTTTCTAGATATTTAGGTTTGAATATTTGAGGTAAAATCTTAAAATATTATCATTAGCCTCGCCTATTCTGAGAACTCTGTAAAGCTAAAGTATTTGTAGGATTTTTTTCATGTACTTTCTGCCCTAAAAATGTTGGCACGTCTTTCTGAAACACCCTGTACATATCACAGTCCTGAGGCTAAAAACGCACGGTGTGAACATGGCCTTTGACTGTTTTTATACAGAGACTTGAATTTCCTGGCCTTCATTTGTAAGCTATCAGCTTCCAATCGACAAACCAATTGTTGGTAACGCAATTGGTAATGAATTTGAGATTGTTCTGTATTGGTACTTCGTTGAACATTCAATTTGCTGTTTTTGGTCTGTCGTATTATACAGAAAGTGTATGACTCTTCACGTAGTTGGTTTATCGAATAGCATGATATTAAAACGTTTTGAGATATCGTAGACTTCTGCATGTTTTGACTCCGCTTGAGTATACTTGTTTCAACTGGTACTCTGTGAAAAACACGTGTAATATTCATTTTATTCTCGGTTCGTTTTCTCTCATAATCAAAACATAATTGGTGAAAGGTTGTGTGATACCAGAGCAAATTTTTTATATATTTTTAATATTTCATATTGAAAACGTGCGGATTATACTATAGTAGTATTTGAAAGGGACGTATTTCAAGGGTATCACACAGAGGCGTATAGTATCATTCTCGTCTCAAAAACAGAAAAAGAGCGACAATGCTTTTCAGCAAAAAGAAGCTGTATGAATGACGATCGTTTTAAACACGAGGCTTAAACAGTTATCGTAATCGCAAATATCTCAAATTCTCACCATTGGGATTCGAAAACGATCAGAGATACGAATGTTGTGCATTAAGGTAACTATGAACTCGCAATTCCGAGGATACCCAGAGACACGCGGTCAAAACTGAATTTTCCCAAAACCGTTTTTATTCTTCCTCACCTTATTTCAAAATAAAAGTACTTTAACATTCCCACTTTTTCTTCTCTACAAGATGGTGTAATTAGTATTTAAAATGAATATTGGAGTTTTTAATATTGATTTTAACAAGGTATAATATGTTATAGGTTGACTTTGTTAAACCTAAGTTATTGAAAAAAAACTAATATTCTCGTAGTTGGCTTTGAAAATGACGTTTATCACATGTTTGTTCGATTAAATCACCATCATCATCATCCAGTTTTTGAAAAGCGCGTTTAAAGCACATCCAGATAACTGGTATTAATAGTATTTGGTTTAGATATGGCAGATACAAAATATGATATGGAGCTGCTACATCGTCGAGGCTTTTATTAACTCCAAATGTTGCCATCAGTTACATAAAATGATACTATTTTCGATGCTTTCAATACGACCGTTAAATAACATAAAAAAGTTTTAGCATTAGGCTGTTCTTTATTCGACAAGTTAAGACCAAATATAGCAACATTTTAGGCATTTAAGGTTTTAAAATATTAATCCATCTCATTATATGTAAGAAATATGTGTTGAAGGAATGCTTGGCTGACAGTATTATGAAACAAATGGCTATATGATAGCATCAAGGTCTACTTAGGAAACTGTGTTCTTTAAATTACTTAGGTCTGGCAATACGAAAATATGACATATTATACATTTTTAGAATCAGAATTAAAAATTATTTTCAACTATGCCAACATGCAATATTTCGTCTATAACAAAAAATAGGGTTGAATGTGGAGAAAAAGCAGCAACTTTTTATTTTGAAACCCAATCTCAAATAAAGCTAGAAAAACAAATAAAAGCTATTTTAGGTAATTTCGGTTTCATTCGCAAATGTCCGGACATACTCGGAATTGCGAAACTTTCTAAGTGCAATTATAGTAGTTAATTGAATGCGAAATTTTGACCCCATTTATTCATTTCCGCGGCCTCTAAGACTCTAGTCGAATTTGAAACATCCGGTATACAGTGTGTCCGAAATGCATATCGACATCAGAACAGACAGAACGACAGAAAGACTATTCAAATTAGTCAAACTTCAGATATCGAAAAAGAAACTTTTTTATTTGGCTTGTGGTCTGAAAATATGTACTATGTTCTGAGTGTTTGTTTTTAACGGAGTACCATGTAGTATGAGTTGTATTGGGTCTTGTAACGCGCACCATATGCTTAAAATTCAATAATACTCTTTTTATATTCAATAGCAGCCTGACAAATTAATATATTTTCTTAATAAATGATATTTTATCGTGCGTCAAGATAATCTGAAAAACAAATTTTGAGAGTATTATAAAATTCTTTATTAGTGTCCATTTTTCTGTATTTCAGATTAACCGGAATGCAAAAATTTGTACTAATTGCGTCATTTATTTAAAAGAAAAAAGTCGGCTGATGTATCTTAATCTGGGATACAGCACTAATTATGGCCTTTAGTGTTTACTTATTAAAGGAAAATTGCTTAAAGTATACTTGAAAATAGATATTTTTGCAGAAGATATTTTTTAATTAACCTTTATTTTTAATAATATTAAGGGTTCCACTGAACGTGTTCTCGATGTGAAATATTTTATATATGTTCACAGTATGTATGTAGCACTAAGAGTTGTCCCCGTCATAGTCCATAATGCTGTAATACTAAGCTACCGATATTAAAAGAACAATTTTTACATTTTAGAATTTTTCATGATTTACTATGAAAGAATTACCAAAAGTAAGGTCAAGTATACAAACCATTCATTTCTGATAATGATTGTATCCTCTCGGAAAAATATTGTGATTCGGTTTTTGGAATAATCTTATTCAAAATGGACCTCTCTTTTAACGAATCTGCATGTTCCCAGGCCCAAAGTTGCGTCAAAAATTGTATAAGGAATGTTTCATTCAATTTCCAAAAAAATATTTTTAGCTCTAGAATTTTTTTGGGTTTTTTATTCTGAGCAGAATAATATTCTTATGCTTCTTTTTCTAAAATCGATGTTTTTCGAGATAAGGGATTTAATACTTAAAAAAGACCAAAATATGAACGCAGGATTTACATTTATAGAACAAAGATTTACACATTAAAATGCTGTGAGATTTTAACAGATGTTTGGTGAATATTCGGGATCTTAGGCAACATCAAAACGTTAAGTTTCTCCATTTACTGTTTTGCGTGACCGAACATAAAAAACATACTTTGCATTTTTTAAAATGATAAATCACTTATTTCGAAAACTATTCAACATTATAAAAAAGTTCATCTGTACCTGTTTTGTTCAGAATGACCCAGAAAACCTAAAGAAAGAAATACGATTTTTGAAATTTGCTTAAACAATTTTTGACACAATTTTGGGCCTATCAACATGCCAATTTGCTAAAAGTGGTTGCTTTTGAATAAGATTAACTAAAAATGAACCAGAATATACTTCCTTGACTAACCAGTTCAACTTATTTAGGCGTTCTACCAAACATATGGAATAAACACACATGAATCAGAAAAACAACAAATCCAAAATAAAGTTATCCTGTGTGCCGTTCGCAAAAAAAAACTGGAAGAACGAGTAATGATTATTTCTTCAGATTTTACATTATTGAGTTCAATAACGGTAGCTTTTGAAAGTCGGACTGAAAATATCTGTAAATTTTGGGGGACGACGTTGTATATTGATTGTTATTGTGAGGATGTATAATAAGAATTAAAAGTGAATGTAATGATTTTCCTGATCATGTTAATCTATCCCAATATATATTTTAATAACTATAAAATATATACGTAGCATATACATAATATAAATGTTATGCAGTCAGTATTTTGTACGAGTACACGTTTTTCGGAAAAATATATATTCTCTACTTAATATTATCTTTCTACATTAACTATAAATTACATATAATAAATGTTGCTATACCATTATAATACTTACAATTTATTTTATCATACACCCGTAAATATACATATATAGCGATATTATATCTAGTGAAATATATAATTATGATAATAAAATGTATTTGTATTCTGGATAAATTGTTTTTATTTAACATGCATCCCCTGATTTTTGAAGAACGCGGCCACCTCTAAAGTGTAGTACATTAGCAGTAGAGTGGACCTTTGCGTATGTTCAGTTTGCATTCATCGACATATAGTCCTTTCACTGAGACAAAGCAGTCACATCATATTTAGTAAATTTGAATATTTCGCGCCAATTCGTGAGGAGATGCTGCGCGAAAAGAATTCTCACTGCACAATTTTGAATTGGATAGGGAAAGGGAAATTGGTTTTATACGTCTCTCTGGATAGAACGACTATCCATTACTCTTCAGTGACGATAAAACGTGATTTTGCAGAAATAACAGAGTTCTGCGTTGCCAGTATGAATAATGGTACGAATACAATAACCATATCAGTTGCGTGTTACTTCTGTCCTTTGAGTTCATGATTCTTTACAATTTATTGAATGATAGATTCTCATGTTTTACATCCATGGAATTGGTGAGGAAGTATTGTAATCCAAAAAATTTCGAAAATAAGATACTATGTTTTTGGATGTTATATGACATGCACATCATGAAAAGCCCTGTCACTCATTCCGTCGATCTACCTGCCGATCTGTCTGTCGGACTGTCCGCTAATCCTTGGTCCGTCTATAACTTGGAAATTACTGCTCGGAACGTGATGCAGTTCCCACACATGGTTACTACTGCGCCAAGGACGGAATAGCATTAGAGTTTTTGAAAGTTGATCTAGTGGCGGCGGAACTATATGCGAAAAAAGAAGGAAATGAGGTTGTGGGAGTAGGAGAATAATGGGCAAAATCCGCAAAAAGGGAGAAAGTGGATTCGAGCAGAAAATACGTATTTCTGCTGGTTGGCTTCATCAGACCCGAAATGAATGCACATATGAAACTACAAAAGTAGATACACATGCCCACACATCCGGATACGGGTGTGACCTGAGGAGACGAAGACGGAGAGGGAAAAACACGACACACGAAGTCCACAACAAGAGCCAACCTACACATTGTAGTATAAAATGCAAGCACGCGGCCGGTTATAGCCACTTTCGCTTGAATCCAAAAAAACACGTTTTCTCATTCTTTGTTGTCGAATAAAAAGTTTTCCCACAAAAATTGGTGTATCCATTTTATACATCCATGTTTTGGATACCCCCCTTGAAGAATTTCCAGCAACAAAACCAGACTTTACAATTATTGCTAAGGTTATTTAATAAATAATTAAATATAACTGAAAAAATAGTCTTGCAACTTTATATCAGAGCTTAAAGGAAATTTCATACATATATACAGAGGTGTACCAAAAGAAGAGAGAGCTAAATGTGGAGTATCCCTAGCTATAAAGAAAAAATATAAGAACAGCATCAACTCATGGGATCAAATAAACGAGAGAATAGTAACTGGGGACATAGAATTAAAAAGTCACCTTGTCATAGTAATTGCCGTATATGCTTTCCAATGACGATGCTACTGCTAAGACAAAATACAAATTTTATAATACATTGACACGGTTGCTGGAGTCAATAAGTAATCGTATTCTTATGGGCGATTTAAATGGAAGAACAGGTAGTAATAGTAATAGTAGTAGTAATAGTAATATTTATTTGTCACCAAAATACACAACCATTACACAGAATTTTATAGAGGACAAATAAATGAAGAGCCCGCAGAAGGGTGGCCCTTGTGCGCGGGTAAAGGAAAACAGAAAATACTTATATACTAACGATGACGTAACACAATAAAATCCTTTTTTTATTCTAATTAACAAATGAGTGATGCATATGGATTTAATTGAGATTCCATATATGTAAGTGAAGTATGGATTGTGCTCATAGAATATGGTATATCAGAGGAAGTACTAACCACTAAAGGATAACCTGTGTGTGGCCATTACATCCAACTGGACCAAAACTAAACTCAAGGATTTTGAAATACAACACTACAGATAATTTAAAATGGGCCGCTAAGGCTTAATGACTTAACTAAACTAGCGGCTGTTCTATCTATATCTATTTTTTCGGTCAAATCACAGACCGCTAAGGCTAAATAGATCTAGACAAAGTATAATATATGAAGGCTTAAAAAGTACTGGTTAGGAAATGGAAAATTTAATCTAAGAATGACCTACAACTTACAATGTATAGCTCGTGCCTTCTATGTACATATGGATTTTAACTCTTGGGACCACGTGCAGCCAGGCTTTTATTTGTTTTTTAAATGAGTTTAAATTATTTAGTTTTTTGTAAGACACTGGGATGGTATTGAAAATTCTTGGACAGAGAAAAATCCAGGACCTTTGTATGAGTGTTTTCTCCGGCTTTGGGACTACATTCTGAGACAGCATTTTCTGACGGGTGCCATAGCAGTGTTCAATTTGCTTCAATGAGGACCGATTTTTGTACTGAAAAGTAATGAGATTGTACATATATAACTGTCTGACATCAAAAACATTAGCCTCAGCAAACAACTCGTTGGAAGGATATGTCTTTCTTTTTTTGTATATCAGTTTAAGTATGTATTTTTGTACGCATTCGAGATTTCTGAGGTGACTTGAGGCCACAGCTCCCCATCCAATGATACCATAGTTTAAATGAGACTGAACAAGTGCAAAATATAATGTTTTTAAAGATTTCTCAGTCAGTAATCCTATTAGATGTTTAAAGTTTGGTAACAGCATTCTAATTTTTTTCACGGTGTATTCTATATGCTTCGTCCATTTCAAGTTTTCATCGAGGATAATGCCTAGATATTTTATGTCACTGGTTCGTTTGATAGTGATTGTGTTATTGGAACTTAGATTAATGTTTAGAGTGTCGTACTCTGGCAAGTGATTTTTGTAGGAAGCAAAGGGGACAAAGCTGGTTTTTGCGATATTCACGGTCAAAAGTTTACTGTTATAAAATTCAAGAATAGTTTTAAGATCATCCTCAATGAGTATTTTTAGTTTTGCCCAGTTAGCACCTTCATATATAACTACCGTATCATCTGCAAATCCCAAAATTGTTCCTTTGCTGTCCAATGAAAAAAGGTCATTTATGTAGATATTGAACAGTACCGGTCCTAAAACCGTCCCTTGGGGGACGCCATATTGTATTACCCCATAATCACTTGTTAGCTCGTTGATTCTAACACACTGTTTACGTTCTGATAGATAGCTAGTCATTAGTTGTAAGGTATTTCCCCTAATACCGTTATGTTCGAGTGATTCCAACAGCTTAGCGTGACTTACCGTGTCAAACGCCTTGGCTAGGTCCACAAATAAGCATACTGTTGGAATTTTTCCATCTATTAATTGGTATAGTTTCTTAGTTAGAGCCACTATAGCATCCTGTGTAGAAATGTGCTCTCTAAAACCATGCTGATTGCTGTGAATGACATCGTATTTTGTAAAAAAATCCACAAGGCGTCTTTTAAGTATCTTCTCTATAATCTTAGCAAGGCAAGAAATTAAAGAAATAGGTCTGTAGTTTGTCATTTCTAGCTTATTACCTTTTTTATATACAGGAGTTATGACTGCGATTTTTAAACTATCAGGAAACTGTCCTGTGCTGAAACAGTTATTTATAATATAACAAAGAGGCTTCGTTATATAAGGAGCGATTTTTTTTAGCGTTTCTGCCTTTAGACCATCGTATCCCGGAGCTTTACTATCTTTAAGATCTAGTATAGTCAGAAGCACTTCTTCTTCATTGGTTTCTTCCAGGAAAATTGAGTTCTTAAGTTTTTTGTTGCTTACAAAGGAGGTCGTTGGAGCGATGTTTTCTGCGAGTCGCTTACCAACATTGTTGAAGTAATTAGCAAACTCTTGGGCTATTATTTTTTTATCATTGACTTCTACTTGATTTTTAGTTATTATCCTTTCTATATTCTTATCGCGGGTGGAAACACATGATACATCTTTTACACATTTCCATAGTGACTTTGAGTTATTCGAGTTGGTTACAATAAAATTATTATAATAGTCTGCTTTTCTTTGTTTTATCAAATCACCTAATTTGTTACGGTAGTCTTTGAATTTTTTTATAGTTTGTTCGTTTGGATTGTTTAACATTTGTTGGAAAAGTTCATTTTTATGATTTATCGACCTTAATAGACCATTTGTTATCCAGCATTTCCTTTTCCTATCAGTAAGTTTTATTTTGATGGTGCTTTTCTCTATGTGGGACTGTATCGTACTAGCAAACTTATCTGTCGCTTCATTTACGTTTGATGATCCGTACACTGCGCTCCAATCTTCGTTCAATACATATGCAACCAATTTAGACTCCTCAATTTTTTGTATATATGTAGGAGTGCTTGAGGATGGTTTTTCATCAAGAATAACCTTGAGAATTATAGAAAAGTGATCGGATATACTATTTTGGTATATAATGGGAATAAGTTGACAAAAGTTGATCGTCTTTCCTTTCACGAACATATGATCAATACATGTTTTTGACGTTAAGTCTACTCTTGTAAAGTTGTTAATGGTAGAGATAAAGTTATGCTCGGATAAAAGATTTAAATAATTCTGAGATGTTTCAGAGTGTTCCAGAATGTTGATATTTATATCACCCGTCAAAAAATGCATATCCACATGTTTGCTACTTTTTTTTAGGAACACTTCTAAATCTTCCACAAAAGCGTTAGCATTAGTTGATGGTGGCCTGTATAGTGCCGTAACTGCAATTTTCTTACTGTTTTTGTGAGTAATCAAGTGTAATACTTTTATCATAGTATTCTGCAAAGAAGTAATTGTATCTTCTACAACTTTTATGTTAGTATTTACGTAGTAGACTCAACGACTCAATATTGTAGGACGATATAGAGAAAACACAACCAATGACAACGGCGAACGTATTATTGAGTTCTGTGAACAAAATGCGCTCAAGATTACAAACAGTTGGTTCCGACACAAAGAAATTGATGGCTACACTTGGACACAACCTACTAGGGGTTTGAAATCTATCATCGACTACGTCATTGTAAATCAGCAATCCATGTAAAATATCAGAGACGTGCGGGTGCTGAGAGGCTTAGAATGTAGATCTGACTATTACTTTTTGCTCTGTAAAGTCTACTTTCCCTATAAGATAAGACCAAATCAAGGAACACCTGAATCCGTATACTGGAACTGATCAAATACATTATAACATGGATCAGTTTCAGGAAGATCAACAGGTCGTGTACCCCTTGGATCTTGAACATATTGTGGAAAAAAAGAAGGAGGCTTATAGAAGGTGGATTGGAACAAAAAAAGGCAGCGACAGAGAAGAGTACAGGCGCATACGACGAAAAGTATCATTAGAAGTGAATAATGCAAAAAAAACGATTACTGGGAGGAAGTATGTGAAGAGGTGAATAACTACGCTGGAAACAAGAGAACCAATAAGGCCTGGAAAATTTTAAAAGGTTTAAGAACACATAATAAGGATAAAGCGGGTATGGACTTAATAAATGTGGACGTGGACAGCACACTATAAAGCGCTCTTGACTGAAGATAGATACGAATTCCTAGAAAGCGGAGTTGAGTTACTGAATGAAGATGAAACAGAGCTGGCACACCTTCCTCTAATCTCCACTGAAGACGTATGCATAGCATTGTCACAAATGAAGAACGGCAAGGCGTCAGGGTTAGGAAATATCAGTGCCGAACTACTAAAAGCAGCTCCTGGTAGGATAGTAGACATTCTAGTGAACATATTTAATAAATGTCTGCGTGGTAGTGAACCGCCTACTGACTGGAAAAAGGCCATTATAACATCGGTTTATAAGAGGGGAAGCAGACGTGATTGCAACAACTATGGAGGAATTAGTGTCATATGTTCGGTAGCTAGATTATATGGGACGGTGTTAAAGTTTAAATTTGAAGATAAAGTAAGGGATTCTGAAGAACAGAACGGCCTCCGATCTGTGCGTTCATGTATTGATGGGATCTTTACTTTAATGAATCTAATTGACAAAAAGATAGAAAGAGGTAGACCGGTACACTTAACATTCATTGATTTACAAAAGGCCTATGACACTGTCCCAGTATGCAAGTTATGGAAATGCATGATTAAATGTGGCGAATTTATTTAATCCTTCCTTTCCGCAAGAAGGCCAACGCCCAACGCCCAACGCGCAACGCCCAACGCCCAACGCCCAACGCCCAACGCCCAACGCCCAACGCCCAACGCCCAACGCCCAACGCCCAACGCCAACGCCCAACGTCAACGCACAACGCCAACGCCCAACGCCCAACGCCAATGGCCAACGCCCAACGCCCAACGCCCAACGCCAACGCCAACGGCAACGCCAACGCCCAACGCCCAACGCCAACGCCAACGCCCAACGCCCAGCGCCCAACGCCAACTCCCAACGCCCAACGCACCACGCCCAACGCCCAACACCAACGCCCAACGCCCAACGCCCAACGCCAACGGCCAACGGCAACGACAACGCTCAACGCCCAACGCCAACGCCCAACGCCCAACGCCAACGCCAAACGCCAACGCCCAACGCCCAACACACAACGCCCAACGCCCAACGCAAAACCCCCAACGCCCAACGCCCAACGCCCAACGCCGACACCCAACGCCAACTTCCGACGCCCAACGCCCAACGCCCAACGCAAAACGCCCAACGGCCAACGCCCAACGTCAACGCCAACGCCCAACGCCAACGCCCAACGCCCAACGCCAACGCCAAACGCCAACGCCCAACGCCCAACACCCAACGCCCAACGCCAACGCCCAACGCCCAACGCCCGACGCCCAACGCCGACGCACAACGCCCAACACTAAAGCCAACGCCCAACGCCAACGCCCAACGCCCAACGCCAACGCCAACGCCAACGCCCTACGCCCCAACTCCCAACGCCCAACGCCCAACGCCCAACGCCCAACGCCCAAACGCAACGCCAACGCCCAACGCCCACGCCAACGCCAACGCTCAACGCCCACGCCAACGCCCAACGCCCAACTCCCAACGCCAAAGCCCAACGCCCACGCCACCGCCCCAACGCCCACGCCCAACGCCAACGCCCAACGCCAACGCCAAC